AGGGCCATGCCAGGTCCTGCCCACTTGGAGGAGAAGATAGTGAGGTCTCTTCTGGGAGCAGCCCTGTTTGTTTCCCAGCATATGTGCCCCAGGTCCCATCCCCCAGGCAGACAATCCCAGTCTTTTTTTCTTTTTTTTGGAAATTTTTTCATATTCCAGGTCAGTTTAGCCAAATCAGTTCCGAATCCTCTTGATTGAGCAAAACTCAATCATTCAAACAGCATATGTGGTGCTACAACCAGCAGGTATCCTCCATCCCAGACTTTTCAGCCTGAGGCTTCAGATACTCCCAAATCCATTGATGGGCATCCTACATGCAGGCCCAAGCCCAGAGGCTTGGGGTTCGGATGCCCTCGAGTCTCACTTGCTTTTAGCCAATGGCCACATGAGCAAGCTAGGGAGGAGTCCCCGTCCCCATTTCCATAAAGCGGGAGTAGAGCTGAGATCCTCCCACTGGAAGTTGGCCACTGGAAACCTAATTACAAGCCTTTTGTAGGGTGTCCTGTCTGCAGTGCATTGGACAGGGGTGCATCCTCCACTACACAATGCCATTCAGGTCTACATATGATCTGAGCCAAAAGGCCAATCCCAGTCTGCCCGTCCAGCCAGCTCTGTCCCCAAGAAGCTCCCGCTCAGGCTACATCCATACTCCAGGGACAGTCTGCTTGGCCAGCAAAGCATTCAGCACACTTTGGATGGCTAATACCACCCCCTGCAACTTGTGCAGCCAGCAATTGGATTGCCTGGAACTGTCTTCACTAGTGGTTTTTGCCTGCCCAGTCAAGGCTCACTCCTCTTTGTCTCCCCCAACACATCTCCCTGGGGCATCAGAGACCTGCTGTGTGGTCAGGGCACCCAGATCATTGCTCTAACATACACACATGGCATCTCCTGCCCCTGAACTGGCATCTAGGGAGCCTCCTCCACCCAAAGGGCTTAGCTCTGACCAGGCAAGTGATTTAGTCCTTGGGTGGTCGGTCGCCACCCTCTGCAGACTGATTGCACAAAAGGGCTTCCTTGCTTCTTGAATGAGCCTGGCAGAGGGCATTTGGCAGAGACAATGGCTCTGATGAGGTCTCTCTTCATCATCCTCATCAAAAGAGTTAACCCATTTAAACAGAAGAGATATTTCTGCCCTCCCCCACCCCAAAAAACCTGGCTTTTTACTCAAAAGCAATTGCTTTTTTCTCTCTGAAAAAACCAACAACTCCTTTTGCTCCAAGTATTTAATTTTCAACCAAAAACAAAACTCCCAACATTTTCCAATTTTTTAAAAAATTGTATTTTGGTGACAGACGAAAGCCACTTTCTGGCGCTTTTAAAATCATTTCCTCTCCTTCCTCTTGCAGGGAGGAAAGGCAAGACAAAGGGAGAAAAAGAAGGATTTTTTTTTCTGTTGGCAAAAATAAAATTTCTGCTGAAAACTGGAAAAAAAAGGTGGTAAGTTTCACATCAAACAGGGAAAAAACGGGGGTTTTTTTGTAGAGAGGCACAGAGTTTTTGGGGAGTGAGAGCTTTGGACCAAGTGCCTAGCAAAATACTATCAAAATGCACCAGAGGGGCAGCAGTCAGCTCTGGCTGCTAGTCTCTGGGAGTAGAAGGGAACTTGTATTTGGGGTGTGGTACCCCCGAGGCACCCCAGACACAGCTGGGGAGGGAACCCCAATCTGCTGGATCCTGGAGACACAGCCCACAGGCTGTGCCCCTGGTCTGTGCCCTGCACACCCACTGTACAGGTGCAGGACAGGAGCTAGGGCAGGGGTGGGCAAAATGTGGCCTGGGCGCCGGATGTGGCCCGCCAGGCCATTCTATCCGGCATGTGGGACCCATAAACAAATTTAGAAAATTAATATTAATCTGCCCTGAGCGGCCTGTCATGCGGCCCTCGATGGCTTGCCAAAACTCAGTAAGCGGCCCTCTGCCCGAAATAATTGCCCGCCTCTGAGCTAGGGTGATGGGGCTCCCAGTGCTGCGAGCTTCCCCACAGCAGTGTCCTGAGCTCCACTTTGCTGTGCCTGTAAACACACCACTGCGGAAGCCCCCCCCCCCCCGCCCACCCCCCCCCCCCCCCTTTGCTCCCTGGGGTGGGAGTGGGCGGCTGTGGCCCATAGGAAAGGCTGCCTCATCGCGCTGGGGCCCTGCTCTCCAGGCCCAGCCGCTGCCTGCCCTTCCCAGGGCTCTTCTTGACTCATCACCCACTAAACCACAGGCCTGGAGCCGTGACAGTCCCCAAGCTTCCCTTCTCCATGGCTCCCACCTCCCCCCCTACACACACACGTGAGGATCCCTGCCCCATGATAGGACCTCAGCCCTCCCCCCTGCTCCCTGGGGTGGCTTCCAGGGACACTTCCTGCACAATTCTCCAGTTATTAATAGCTCCCCGACTGCTACTGAATCAGACTGACACCCCCCCACACTTCACCCTGCCCAGCCCAGAGCTCTCTGCATTAAGCTTTTCTGCTCCCCTCTCCCTTCCCTTGGGTTCATGCAGGGTTAACAACCTTCCTTCCCCCTCCCTGGCCACTCCATGCTGCTCCTGTGTGGACCTGTGCCCAGAATACCCAGCAGGATTCCCCTGGGGCTGGCAATAACTCACCCCTGGGCATGGGGCAGCCCATGGGACTTCACTGCAGAGGTTTTGGGATGGGGGTAGGAGGGAGAGGGCACTGGGACGGCATGGATGGGGAGCACACAGATTGCCTAGAGCACACCTGTCCAGCCGCGCCTTTGCAGGGGTGGGCGCAGGAGCTAGCAGGGGAACCCGGGGGGCATGAGTGCAGCCTGGGGGCTGCTCTAAGTTACACTGGGAACGGGCCAGGTCTCCTGCCCAGTGCCTGGTTCATTCTTTCTTTCGTTTTCATCCTTTCTTCTGCTTTTCGTTCTTCCTCTGTCGCTTCCTCATTTTCAACTTTTCTGACTTTTCCAGTCTCTTTTTTTTCCTTTCTAGCTATTTCTGGCTCTTTCTTTTTCATTCATTCTTTTCCAACTTTCTTTCCCCCTTTCAGTCTTTTTTTCAAACTTCCATCTCTCTCTCTCTCTCTTTTTTGGTCCTTTCTCCTCTGTCTTTTCTTTCCTTCCCCCCACTCCTCCACCATGCCCCTTGCTCCCTCCCCCTCCATCCCTGCAGCCGCGGCCCCGGATGTTTCCCTTGTGGTCGCAGGCACTGAAATAACCCTGCCTTAATGGGTGTGTGGGTGCGGCGCTGCGGCTCGCAGAAGCTCCTCCCGAAGCCCGGCTCGCCCGTGCCAGCTGCCACTGGGCTCCAGACGGCTCAGCGGCGAGGAGCGGAGGGGACACCACAAGCATGCCGGGCGGGGACACGGAACCACCCCCCCTTGCCAAAGGGGGGATGGGGAGTGGTGGCGACACAGCCAGAAAAAAGCCCCCCCTCCCTGAGAGTGTCCCGGGCCTGGTGGGCTCCCCTGCAACCAGCGTGTCTAAACCTCTTGGGCAAATTGATCCCTATAATCTCCGCCAGGGTGCTCTAATAGCGGTGGGGGGGGTTGGTTGAAGCCACCCCCTAGCAATTTGTAAGCTGACTGCGTTCTACATGAGAAGCCTGTGGGCCCTGAGTCTGGGGGCTTCCCTATTGCCACTTCTCTGTTCACACTGCCTCCCCAGTCCTGGAGCAGCGGTGGTCACAAACAGCATGCAGGCAGGGCCTCTCTGGCAGAGATCTCAACCCAAAGGCTAACAACTGGTTCCCAGTGCCGCCTTGAGGCCAGGCTCCAAGGCACAGTGCAACCCCCCGGCTGCTTGTGGCAGTTCCCCGGGAAGGACATGCATCGCTCACGTCTCACGCAACATTGCCACAGCCCATCCATCACAACTTCACCCTCCAGGAGATCTGCAGGAGCCCTTTCCCCTCCTCCTAACATGGCTTGGCTGATGGAAACCAGAGGCTAGATCTAAAACCACCTGTCTCCCTCCAGATGCTTTTCCACCCTCCTGGTACCACCCTGCCATGACCCCTTTCTCCTTCCGCTGTTTTGTTGTAGGTTGGGGCCTCATTGTGCTAGGTGCTGTACATACACACAGGGACAGCCCCGGCCTTGAACAACTCCTAACGTAGCTGGGCAAAAGGCAAGAGGAGAAACTGAGGCACGGGGCAGGGGGAAGCAAAGGGCAGAGCCAGGGTGAGAATCCATCGCACCCAAGTCACAGGCCAGGGCTCTAGCCACTACTCCTTTGCACTGCCCCCATCCCCCCAGCCCATTTCAGGTTGGTAGAGTCAACCCTGGCTCAGCTTCTTCTCTCAAACCTCTAGCCCAGCTGCCTCCCCTTCCGCTCTCTAATTAGGAAATTGTGAGAGCCATTTTCTATTTTTTTAGCTGTCCTAGGGTTTTTTTTTTCCCCTTTGCTTCTTCCCTGCAAAGGCTAAAAATAAGGACAGCAGAAATGTCGCCTCCCTGGACAGCAGCTTGTATAGCGCCACCCCCCACGGGACCACCAGTGCCCCCAGGACTGGACGGCACTGGGAGCCAGCTTCATATGCAGGATCATTGCCCCCTGGCGGCTGGGCCCTGGAAGGATCTGAGCTGTGCAGCTAGTGCATGGATTCAGCCGGACTCCTATTGCTGGAGAGACAGAGATGGGTGTGGGGGCTTGAATACTACGGGCAGGATTGGTCTGGTATAATCTTAGTCCTCGTGGTGCCTATAGACACCAACCAAAGTCAGGATCCTAACATGCCAGGCGCTGCATAGCCACAGGGAGAGTGTCTCTCTGCCCAAAGAGCTTGGGGATTAATAGAGAGCTGGTAACAGGGGAAACTGAGGCACAGAGCAGGAAAAGGGACTTATTCAAGTCGTGGCAAAGTTGGGACCAAAACCCAAGCCTCCTTCCTTCGAGGACCGTGCTCTGGCCCCTGACCCACCCTGTGTTTCCAGCAATCTTAACCCAAGTAGTGCAACAGAGGAGGCTCCATTACTAGGGATGCTTGTGCTAGGTGCTGTACACATGTATGTAACCGTTGGACACCCTTGCCCCGCAGTCGAAAGATGAAGCTGCAGCAAAGCAAGCAGATCCTGGTGAAGCGGGGTTGGGGGTAACAGGAACAAGTGGGGCAACTGGTCCACTGGAAGTGGCTGGGGTTTGCAATGGCTGCCTGACCTGATCCAGCAGGTGAATGTTACTGTGTGATGGGGCAATGGGAGAGAGTGTGAGACGTGACCCTTTGAGCCCCAGGGACCTGAGAGAGAGGCCATTTATTTGAACCCCACTCTCCCTGCACTGAAACACGCCTGCCCAGACTGCGATGCATGGGAGCACATGCGTGGCCTAAAGAGTACATATGTGGAAACATGGAAGTGCACAGACGGGCAAAACCCCTGGCCAAGGAGCCCTGATGAGCACCGCTGCATGCAGACACCAAAGAGCGACACTCCCAGGCCCTGCCACGCTCCTCTGCAGCAGGAACTCAGGCGGCAGCAGGCTCAGCAGCTGGGACGTGGGTCTCCGTGGGTCAGGAGGGCAGTGCCCGCAGGGGCCTCACAGCTGGCGCTCTTGCAGCTGCCGATGCCGGCCACCCCCAGGCTGGCTACCTTCTGACCGACCGTCTAATTATCACATTTCCAGGGGCCTTTGGCTAAAAATAACCCCCAGCGCAGGGCTCTTCTCCATCCTGGTTTGGTCTTCCAGGCTGTGTGGTTACCACGTGGAGTGGGCGAGTCTTCTCTGGGCTCCCCATGCGGTCCCGGCCAGCTGGGAGAGGCCTCGTTTGGCTCTCCGTATCCCTGCTCCTGTCCTGCCTTTACCTGGGCTTGAGTTTAGGCTGCCTGGGCTTCACCCTGGAGGGTGCTGGGTGCAGACCTCAGCAGCCAGAAGCACAGCGGATGCCAGAAGCACTGGGAAAGATAAGCCTTAATGAGTTGCAATGATCAGGAGAAACCTCCATTGGTCAGAGCTCACACCAAGTTTCGCCCCTGCGCTGAGAGACGACACGGAGGAGTTTCTTCTCCAAAGCCGGGGTAGAGGTGCTCAGGGCTGCGGTAGCTTGGGACAGATACAGATCAGGGTGGAGGGGTTATCAGGGGATACAGGTGGGGATTTGCAGGGTACAGGCTGGGACTGAGAGGCACCAGCACAGAAGAGAGATCCAAGACGAAGAGGAGGATGGATGAGATGAAGGGGCTGCAGGATGAGACAGAGATGAGGGATCTATCTGTCTGTCTGCCCCATCCACACCTCTCCCCCACCCGTTTCCTAATAAACCTCTCTCCCTCCATCTCTCACACCCTCCCCTTAATTACCTGCCCCGGTTCCCATCGCCTGCTGCCTCGGGCTGGGGCAGCTGTGCTGCAGGAAGCCAAGGGCTGAGCCCAGGGCAGGGGGTGGAGGCAGCAGGGAGCGGGCTGGGGCGGCCCCCCACTCCCGGCCGGCCCTGCCATCACGCTGCGGCCCGGGCTCGGTTTAGATGAATCATCATTTCGAGTGCACACACAAACCATAATTAGGCTTGGAATATAAATATGGAAAGTTCCGCTAATGTTACCGACCGATATAGCCTCCCGGCTCATTATCTGCGCCCGGGCAGCTCCGCAGAGCTATTTTCTGAACAAAGAGCCTCACATTCCAGTTATTTAAATAAAGCCCAGGGAGATTTATGGGACGTGGAGGCCTGGGGATGGAAAAGGGGGTGGCGGAGGGGGGGCACTGCTCAGCACGCCCGGGGTGGGGGGGACGGTCGGACCCTTGTTGCTAATGAGAAACACGAGCCGGCTCGTCCCGTAGCGAGAGCAGCTCCTGCCCACGGGTCCCCTGCTGGGATGGGCGGCAGGGAGAGGAAGAGCGAGGCTGGAGGGACCCCGGAGTCTGGGACGGCCCCGGGGGCTGCAGCATCAGGGGCTTGGGGTGCTCTGTCTGGGCGCCGCGCTGCTATGGCCTGGGGTCCTGTCAACTGTGCACCCGGGGTCCTGTCAGCCGGCTGTCGCTATGGGCCCAGGACAGCCTCAGGGTGTACGGTCTGTGCTGTGCCAAGCCGAAGTGGTCCTCAGCATCACCCCACAGTGACACAGTCACAGCCCCCTGGACTCCCCATGTCACACAGGTGCTTTTGGTGGGGTCAGGAGGCCCCATGGTCCTTTGCGGTGTCAACACGGCCCCATCAGTCCAGTGGACTGGGTGTTAATCAGTAATAGAGACCCCCTCAGGAGCAGCTCATGCAGCCTGACCCTCCACCCACCCCTAACCCCACTTCACGCACGCTTGTGCCTTCACCTTCACAGTCCACTCCTCCACTAGGAAATGGGCATTCTCCATTGCCCCATTTTACAGGGGGAAACTGAGGCACGGAGCTGAGAAATCAGCCATTTGAAGTTGGGAACCCAGGTATCCCTGGGCCAGCCCAGCACCCAGCGCTTCCTCCGGGGCAGGTGGTATACGCAGACTTCTGCAGTGTTGGGGGTGTCCGACTGGGCACCTTGTATCTAGCAATGGGGACTGCTGAAAAAACCCATTAGACAAGAGTGAGAAGCTTGTTGGTGATTTAAGTCGGCAAATGCCTGCAAAACACTGGAGGAGGCTTGAGGAGCTGGTGGACAGAGATGCCTGTATGCACAGTGGTTGTGACCTACCCTCATGCAGCTATTGCAACCAGGGCTGGGGTGCAAAGTGCCCTCATGGACTTGCTGGACTGCGTGACCACCACGAAACCCCCCAAGCCCCCAATGGAGTGTTTCTAAAGGCCCAAGAAGTGAAAAAGCAACTGCCTTTGCTATAACAGGGGCTACAGATGCTCCAGGGAAGGCTGTTGCCTTGTGGCAGGGCTGTGGGGAGGATGACTGGTTCATTGCAGGGAACGGCCTGATAAATTTTCCCCTGTTGTTTGTACCCAAAATGTTGCAACGAACAATTTTGCCAACTATTTAGCTGGTCTAATCAAAGATATCACATTTGCCCAAAGAACCTCGTCTGTCCCTAGAAAGCAGACCTTTAGCTCAAGGACTCGGACAAATGAGCGGACTCAAGCCAGGCAAACTCAAAGAAGAAACAAGGGTGATTTAGCCACTGGAAAAAACCCTGCCAGGGAAGTGATGGAGTCTCCGTCATCCTGATGTGTTCAACGCTAGCCTGGCAGCCTTTTGAGAAGAGGCTTTAGCCAAAAGCAAGTCTCAGGGCATCCAAGATGTAGCCGTATTGGTCTAGAGGAAACGGCAATCAGGACTTGTAGTAGAGATGATATCTTTTATTAGATCAACAAGATTTTTGCAACAAAAAATAATCTTTAATTGCAAGCTTTCGGACACATTGAACCCAGAGCATTGAACCCAAGGGCCGTGGAGTATGGGAGGCAAAGGTCATTTTAGGATCTCCGTCGCTGATGCCAGGGAAACAGCTCTCAGCTCAGCAACCAGCTTGTCCCAGTAACCCTCCCAGTAAGGGCTGGAGGGCTGTCTCCTGAGGAAGGTCTTTGCCCAGGGGAAGCTGGAAGGGAGCTGAGAGAGGCTGGAGAAGAAGGCAGAGCAGAGAGCTGGGGGTGCAAGGGGGCATGGGACGGGGGAATTAGGGGTGAAGAGGAGAGGTGGAGACAGGAGCTGGGGGGAAGTGAAGAGGGCGCTGGGGGTTTCTCCAGCCTGGTCCCCCCCTTGTTCCGGGGGGGTCCCTGGCCTCATCTCTGCTCAGTCCCCAGCCGCAGAGGGTCCCCGAGGTGTGTGTGGCGGGGTACCAGGGGGGCACCAAGGGGCTGCCCCCCCACCCCCAGGCCGGCTCCGTGCCGCATTCCTCCTGCCTCGTCCCAGCCCGACCGCACGCTGGGAATTGCTCCCTAATTGCAGGCTCCGAGCGGCGGAGGCCGGGCCAGGCTG